TATCGAAAATTTCCATATTTCGATATGATTAAAAATTGCTATCGGTATATCGGTTTCAAAATAATATCGAATTATTGAGTAATACCGATATATCAACAGTGCATACTTTTAATAAGACTAAACTCACCAAAACCAAAAAACATCCAAAACTTCAACTTTTCTGCATCTTCTGAATCACCAGACTAATCCAAATTACTTAACTTCCTCCTGACTGATTACAGGCCAAAAATAACCTCGCCCACAAAATCCCCTCTCAAGAAAATCCCATCTTAAGATAAATCCTTCTTTGTCCCCTGTGTGAATAGACCAGTTACATGTAAAGCCTATCAGTCAATAAGTGAATTCTTAAGAGGCGTCTCAATAGACCTGCATGTAGACCTGTTGCTCTGTGTTGGTAGATTTGGTGTTCATGTTGGATTTGAAAAAAAATTACGGGGATTTCTCGGCACGTCAAGTTTTAAGACTAAATGTGCGGCTTAAAATAAGTTACCGGCCCAAACGTTTTGGACGTTTTTACAGTGAAATTTATTCAATCGAGTAGATCAAGTTTTCACTTGAGTTTATACTGGATTGGTTCTTTCTCAGAGTATTTAAGAGTTTTGAAAATCTAGAGTCATTTTTCACTCTAAATCATATGCACATGTAGTCCCTAGTTTCACTATTTCAAAATTATACAGAATCTGTATAAAATTTGCATTGAATTTTTGGAAGTTCATTTTTTTTTGTGCTGCATCATTTTTGTCTCACTGCCATCAGTAGGTGTTTGTCTAATTTCAGCTTTCAGTGTCACTAAGCCCCACCCCAGGGCACCACTACCTGAGTAGGGGTACAATAAAAGAGTAGGGGTCTCAGTTCGTAAAATCCCCACCCCAGGGGGCTAAAACCTGTAGGGATTTGGATTGAGTGTGGAAGTTTGCTAGGTGCACTTGTATGGTTTGTGACACTCAGTTGTAAAAACACATTTACTGGAATTTGTATCCTTGTGGAGTCATTTCATTGTTCTCGTGTATTAAAGATCTGAGTTTGAAAGTCTAGTTTCAAAATGCGCCTATTTCAACCAGAATTATTTTTTTGGGCTGAAATTCGGAATTAACATCCCTTACATAAAATACTTCAATTTGCGACGAATCAACACACCTTGGAAATTCAGGTTTTTTGGTAAAATCCATCTATTTCATGATAACCATGTGGTGACATATAAATAGGTACAAATTGCCCTGTGGAGACGTATTCAATCTTTTGTTCCTACTATACTCATGTCTCCTCAGGGTACCGAGTACCAGATCATCATAATCCATGAATTGGATCAACTTTTTCAAATTTGTATTATAAATAAAATGTATTTTAAAGTTAATCAAAGAAATTGTTATTTATAGGAATGCACCTGGTCAGAATCCTGTGGTGGCTTATTTGAAAATGTGTAAAATTTATTTACAAAGCTGTATCCTCTCTGAGTGATCCCCATTTGCTATTTCCGGGTTTGCAGCATTGCTAAAAGCCCTTTTCCCATTAGACAAATCTCGGGGTTGACGCAGGGTTGAAAACATGCATCGTTTCATACTTAAAGAATTTCAACCCTGCGTCAACCCCGAGATCGATTTCGCCCCGGGTTGAACTCAACCCTGCTCCAGACCAGGGTTGAGATTTTCAATCCGGATTGAAATTCTTGCCAGGGTTCAAAACAGTAGTAACTGAGCATGATAAGCTTGATTTGCATGAAACGATTCAGGGTTGAAAGCGGGGTTGAAATAAAAAACTCAACCCGGGGCGGCACTGGGTTCACCCAAGCTTGAGTTCAGCCTGGGTTGAGAGGCTCAGTGTGAAAAGGGCTTAATGTTGCAAGCATCGTGACTTTGGCCGTGATATCCCTGGCTACATGGCATGTATGGATTATGGCTTCTGACTAGCGCCCCTTGAACAAAGATATTGATTAAAACGGTGGACTACCAACATAGGGCTGGATAGCTCAGTTGGTACAGCACTGGAACGGCAATCCGGAGGTTGCAGGTTCAAATCCCACTCCAGTCAATTTTTTGTTCAACTTTAAAATTGTTATAATGCACTTAGTCAGTTTCATTTAGTGGCTTATAAAAATAAAAAAAATAAAAAAAATAAGGTTTGTTGTATCACAATGTAGTGCTCTCTTGTGTACATGTAGTTCTCCAAGCAGGTTCTTTGATTTCAGAACCAAAAGAAAGTGAAAAGAATTAGTTTTCTTTTAAAATAATTATCAATATATTTGGCTCTTTATTGTCCTTTGCCAACCTTGTGTATTAAAATACCCACAATTTAATTGAAAACCTTTCATTTTTGTAAGTACATGTATGATTTAAAAACAAAAAATGTGACACCTGAATAATAAAACCAGTCAATTCTTAGCAGGTAGTTGTCACATTGACATGTTGTCACTGCAGGTGTATAGATGTGGTAGAGAAGACCCCCCAGCTTATTAATTAATAATAATAAGAATTGGAATAAGAATAATAAAGGGATTTATATGGAGCTTTATGTAAAAATACCTCAAAGCACCTCACAACAAAAACTATAAAACCTATAGGCAATGAAAATACTAAAATAAGAATAAAAAATTACTTAAAGTGCTACAGTGACAAGTACTTAAACACGGGAGCAAACGAAGCTAAAAAGCAAGTTAATATGCCAGAAGAAAACAATATAAAACCCAAAAACTTTAAAAAGCCTAATCAAAAGCATTCAAAACATCAATTATTTATAAATACCATATATGCACCTTGAGAGTGCTAAAAGTAGAATACGTAAAATGCAACACAGGTGATGGAAAAATGGCTACAATAGCAACAAATTAATTGCAATTACCTAGCTGATGAGTTGCCTGACCTCAACAAAACGATCAATAATGCCCAACAGTGGTGACAGTGACAAAGGATGCAGCATTTTGTGGAGTGCCATCAGTAGCTATGGTTGGTGATCACATTAAAGGGGCAGTCAGCTGCGGCCCAGCCGCTTAAATTCTTAAAACTGTAGCTTTTGATTGTTCACTAACGTTTGCCTCAAGATACCAGGGTATCCACATTTGCTGTCTTACAAAAGTTTACAGAGAAAGGAAACATATTTGTGACCCACTCCACAAAAAAGGGTATTAAGTCGCGCTGTGCAGTATCCTGTAATGGCCCGCTAAATTTTGAAAGGGTGAAAATGTTGTCAAAATATGATTTTCATTTTTTGTCATGAATGACATCTTTTATACCTAAAGTTTCAGGGTTCATTCACAGATATGTTGATTTTGATGAATAAAGTGGGGGAAAAAAACAACCATTTTTAGCTTTTCATGGCAATCTCTAACAGAGCCAGCTACATGAATTTCAAAGCCTGTTTTTTCAGTTATCAAGTGTGATTCGAACTCAAAGGAATTAAGTAATTAATATGCAAAAAGTCTTATCTCCAGAACGTGAAGGGCTATGGAGCTCTATACCAAAATAAAGCTGATGTTGTGGTCTTCTCAACCATATTTCATTTTACTTTTTTTTGCGACATGCATGTAATACCCTTTTTTGTTGAGTGGGTCACATTGGACTTGAATAATAGACACTATCAGCTCCCTAACAGCTCAATTTTTTGAGGAATTAAATTTTGCACCATTGTTACATTAATGCACTGTTAACTTCACATGAAATATAATTTCAATAGAATTATCCTTTATTTGAATATTTATAAGCAAATGACAGAGCCACCTCATCCTGTGAAGCTAACATTTGAGAAGCTCTGAATAAAACTGAAAAAGTCCTTTTAAAAAACCCAGATATTTCCTCAACAACATATAGAATTGTGGCCATGAACCACTTGAGATGAGATAAACCTATTGAGTAAGTATCTTTCTTCACAACAACTTTGAACTTTGAGGTGGCTTCTGAAAATTAGGAATGTCTGTTTGATTTCACTTGACTTGGAAGGAGAATTGGTCATTTATTTATTTGTCTCTGGGTGAATGACTTGGATACTTGACTTCAGAAAATTTGACTTGTGAGTTGACTTTGGAAAAATGCCTTTAAATTTGACTTGACAGTGAAAATCATTTTTTTTCACGTCAGCACTGAGGTCACTTGAGAAATACATGTATGGCGTTACGTGGGAAAAACTGGCTTACATACTGGTATTTTTTACTTAACTTGGGAAATGGTTATTTAACTTAATGGCTTTGGGATGAACTGACTAGGTACTTGAATTCAGAAACTTTGACTTGGTAAATGTGGTCTTTTTTAATTTGTAACCGGAATTTGTAATTTAATAGGGTTTTACTTGACTTGGGGAGTGTGGCCAAGTGGTTACAGTCCGTGACTCATGATCAGGGGTTTGAATCCAGCTGCTGGTCAAATGTTGTGTTCTTGGGCAAGCCACTGCACCCCCACTTGCCTCTCTCCACCGAGTATAAATTGGTACTGACATTCTCAGGGCAGTAACCTGTGATGGCCTAGCATCCCATCCATGGGAGTAGAAATATTCTGTTGTTTCATGCTTCTCAAACCGGACACAAATGCCGGCCTGATGGGCCACATTGGGTCGTGACAGACTTAACACTATTTTGTTTTACTTGACTTGGAAAGAAATATAGGAAGTTAAGTCGGAAAACAGTCTTTGTATTAATTATCTCTCAAATGGTAATTCATCCTCTATAGGGAAGATTTGGTAGACCCTGTCTGTGAAGCACTATGTGGATGCAAATTATAAGAAAACATGAACATTCAATTTGTAAATCATTCAACTTCTGTTTCCGTCAAGCCGGATCAACCATTACCAGACATAAACTACAGCTCTCAACAAGCCAAGCATTAAAGGTGATGACTGATTGAACACCCACAATAGACCCATGATTCTATCAATAACGACAAGCTTAGACCATCCCTTTAATGCTCAGTGGAGCTCACTGTAATTGCATGCCAAGTAGCCAGTGAATGACAACAAATACCACAAGAGGGAGGTCTATTGTTGTCACTGACAATAAGCCAGCTGCATAGTGTTGCTAATGCCACAGCGTCCTTACTAACCAATGGTAAATGCACATGTAGGTGTCTTTTCATTGATGCTATGCAGTCGCAAATACTGTACACGCATTGGTATAGGCAGTAGAAAGTCTTCAGGGTTAGGTATTTCCACTGTATGGAGGAGATCATAAGGAGAACTATTTTTCCGGAGCAATGGACAAGAACAGAGTTTGGAGTATACTGGCAGACAGAAGATGGTGTTGCCTCTAGAAGTGGAGTTACATGCCTAGAAATATTCATCTAATGTGTATTTGTAACAGGCACATGGAGTTTAGATGGTGGTGATAATTGCATCAATGCATCTTCCAGTGGAAAGTGTGGCCGATTCGGTGGATGCTTATGGCAGACAGTGACAAAAAGGAGGAGTTAGTGGAATACAGGATCATCTTATGAATACCCTGGATCTGATGCCATAAGTTTGATATTTTCAGGAGTTTTATCAGAGGTGCGTTTGGATTATGCATCATTCGCACCTGTTGGAGTAGAATATTCATGAAGTGGTCAATATGACTGAATTGGGTCGATACACACAGTTGCAGTTAACATATTACATTTACTCGGAGGCACGTCAGTTAGTGATTCTGAACCAATGTTGAGCATCCAGTTTGCCAATTTGGAAGAACATTCACATCATAAATTGTTTGCCATCAATATTCTGGATGTCCAGTTGCATGCACTGACCTACCCTGATGTCTGTCAGTACAAGTTTTTAAAAATGCAAATTTGAGCTTTTTTGAGCTGGAGTGGGAAGAACACAAGAAAAAAAATGCAGTTCACTACATGTTTCTTTTACAAAGTAAGGACAGGTCTCCAGGATCATGACATCTTGTTTACTAGTTCTTGAAACTGCAAAGTGGAATATTTGTACTGTGTTCTGACCTAAGTGAAAGTTGGCAAACACAGTGAGCAAACAGAAAACTCAATTATGCGACAATTTCACAGGGGCAAGTGTACACATGGAAGAGCTGAACACACAAAAAGGTACACAGTTTTCTGAAGATGAACCATGGATTTTTAAAAAACTTACTGTGCATCCAGAATATCAGTGAGTTTCAATTCGCAATTGACACAGTGGAAATGAACATTAAATATAAGCAGAGGGAATAGAACAGTGCTAAAATTTATATAAACAATCAAAGTGCTTGTAAAGGATTTAAGTTTGTTAAAATGAATCAACGACCACGCCCTCACTCGTCGGGAAGCCCCGAGCAAGCTAAGTCCATGCAGCAACATGCGGACATGGCCAATATCCCAGAGAGTGGACCAAAGATGGTGACATTGTTGAGGGTTTCTCCACGGGATGCATCAGTGTCAAGCCGGCGGCAGCGTTCGAAAACGGCCTTGCAAGAGAAAAAGTCACAGTATCTTGAATATGCCTCCCAGGTTGAGGAGCGGCGCCGGCAGTCACTACAAGCTGGCCGGAAGGCTGGCGGCCAGAATCATGGGAGCAGGAATAATGTCGCAAGGACCAGAAATGGTGCGGGAAGGGAGCCAGCCAAGAATCCACAGTTAGCAAACCGTCCATTATCCGAGGCACAGAAGCCAAGACAACCTCCGTCGAAACCGCAGCGACATTTTTCCCAGAGCCCTCCAAGACAGGTAACAAGACAGCCTGACCGACTCCCAAACGGCCAATATCATGGACCCCAGAACCATCGACAAGAGAACCACCCACATGCAAAAAACAATCAACGTATCCCTCCCCAGATGACAAAGCCTCAGGAGTCTTCAACTCCAAAACGCCAACCAAGAAGCTTGTATCCATTACCCCCTTCCACAAACCGCTTACAAACACCCTTAGCACCTGTTAGGACTTCCAGATCTCCAAACAGACCTCCAAGTCAACAGCCGACCAAAGCCAAACCGGACTCATCATTGACCCAGGTCAAAATTCGAGCAGAAGTTCATACAACCACGCAATCAAGCAGTTCCACCTCTCCGCACAATTCACTGCCTGTGGGCTCCCTGCCACCAGGGGACAACTCAATTTTGTCCTGGTTTGACAAAATGGAGGCACAGGACAGTGTCTCATATTCCTTCCCTCCATCTGCTCGCTCACAAAGTAATGGGCCACAAAGTAGAGGCTCTGCCAGTAAAGTTGAACTCCGTAATGATTTGAAACAATTTGAGATGAGCATGGACACTAGGAGACGCGTTAGTTCCCCTGAAGCGAGAAGCAACAGATCCCGGTCAGATTTGAAATCACCAACCTCTGGCATCCCAGTAGCTCATGAAAGGCGATCCCGATTGGACAATTTTGCAAAAAGTCAGCCTGTATCCAAAACATCATCCCACGCTTCCCTAAGCCAACAACAAGCTAAACCAAGCAAAATCCCTGTGAAGAAAGAATCAATGGTCAATTTAAGACATGAAGCACCCAGAAGAACTAAGACTGTCTCCGATCCTGAACCCCCACTGCGGCAGAGGAAAAGCCAAAGTCCTGTTAAGATTCCAGCGACTACTCCAAGTGCCAAATCAAAAATTCCGTCCATGGGTTCAGAGGAACCCAGACCCAAACAATCCTCCCAGCATCCAGGTCATTCCAGAGAAAGTCCTGAGCCCCAACCTCCTCCTAGACACCGGAAAGGCTCTCAAGATGGCTCCGTGCAAAACAGGACAAAGCAAGGCCAGAAACAACCAAGCTCATCTGAAAGAAATGGAAAATCTTCAGTCATTTCCTCAACAAGTCCTAAACAAGACGAACAATCCCAGAGCAAGCATTCTGGTAAAGAAGCAACAGAAACATCATCAGCTAGTCACAGCATCAACAGTGACTCTCTTGATCTGACACCTAGACGACCAATGAGTACCTCACCACGGCATCAAGAGCTCCGTCGGAGACTGAGTGAGATCCTGATGGAACGTCGAAATAGAGACAATGGGACATCTGATGCCATCAGAATTCCCACATCACCCAAGAGAGAAGAGTCTTTGCCAAGTGAGGTGGAAGGAGGTGATGTAATTGATAATATGCTGGATTCTACTTTGGAGCAGGACTTCAAAGGAGAACTGAAAAGAAACTTGGCCCGGCGCAAAAGCAAACTTGATCAAAGTTTGAAAGAAACAGGCCCGGACGTTTCTTCTGTCGGAGACGGAGCATCCAAGATAGAGAAAGATAGTCAGACACCTGATGTCAAAGCAACTAAGAAGATTGAGTTGGATAAACAGACTCGTGATTCGGGTCTAGGAGCAAGTTATGAATCACAATCCAATCAACTCCCAGATGCTGCTATTGGGGGCATAGCATCAGGACATTCATCAAAATCAAGTGGAGAACAGACTTCGCCAAAAGAAGTTGAATTTGTCATCAGCGAGTGGTCTGATGAAAGCGAGGCTGTACAACCCACAAGAGTAGACTCTCCACCAGCTGTTGATGGCGATGCACCAAGCACCTCAATTCGTTTATCCCCGAGTCCGCCACCACCTGATGACTCGCCACGGGACGATCCGAAACGGAAGGTGCGCTTGAGAAGATGGAGCATAAGCAGCGACAGCGGAGAGCGCCCTCATGTAGCGCAAAGGCCAGTGTCGTACAGCAATGAGAATAAACCGGAGACGTCGACAACGAGCATTCTGTCGTCGATGAAAGTTGGGATATCTGTCCCCGATCTCTCTAGTAGGACCAGCTCGGATGATCTCATGGACAGGGAATCATCTCTGGATGATAGCAGTGGCCTCTTAAATGTTAAAGACATTGAGGAGGAGATTGAGAAATCTTCCAGTGCCAACACCTCTTCCGTCCAATCCACACCTTGCCGGTCCACCGTGTCCCAAGAAGTTGCAACGCCGCAAGCCTCATCTCCAAGCCAGGACTTCGACGAAGACTCCCTCAACTCGGTCCCCAGTTCTCCTCGTAGGATAACACCGCCCAACGAGCGTTTGATACAAACTCCCCCATCCCACCTTTTGGAGCGCAGCCACCAGTCACTCCGTCAGTTACCCGTCAAAGTACTTCCAACTTCTCCGCGAGGTGAAACCCAGCCCACTTTCTCTGAGGATCACGACATGAGCATCATACTCCCATCCCCACCGACAACCCCAGCCCAACCATCCCAATCTCCAACGGATTCAAACCAGAAGAAGTCCCGTTATCTCAAGATCACTGGAATGCAGCTACTTCCACAAAAACTCCAACTCCTTGGCTCTAAGGACAAATCTAAATCCAATCAGGTTGACGAAACCGACAGACAGAAACAAGGACTGTACAAAAAATCAGAGTACAGAGGGAGGGATAGCTCAAAAAAGGATTTTTCAATATCGGCGTTTGCTAGGTCGAAGAAGAGGAGTGCATCTGCAGATGGGTTCTTCCCAATCCAGAGGGAGAGATCACCAAGCCCGTTGGTAAGTTTTGTGTTATTTTTTCTTTTACACTCAGTTTGCTCTCCCGTTGCTCCTAACATTTTTAGTTTGTTCCTCAATCTGCAAAAATTTGAATGATTCTTTTGACAAAACGCTACTTTTTTCTATTTTGGATGTCAACAACTCTCGGCAAAAGGCTTTTACCGATATTTTGGTTTCTTGATTTCCAGTACATTGTAATTTGTATGTTTTTTGACAAAAACCCCATGTTGATTGATTTTTGGTGTCTACAACTTTCAGATAAGACTTTTATTTGGATACTTTTCAAAGTGACAATTATTGTCATGCTGCACATATTCATATAGTATTTATTCCATACATAAACATATATACACTGTAGTTGGAGGTCTCATTTAACTTTTGAAGAAAGCAAAATCATTTGTGTATCCAAACATGGTAGAAAATATGAAATGTAGGATTTCTTTCAAAGGAAAATGCAAATTTGTGAATTTGACATCGGACAACGTTTGCATTAAAATCTCGCACTAGTACTGTTATTTACTGACTCTCGGTGGATTTTCTGAATGTGCATGATAAACATGTACATGTACGGTATATGTACGGTAGGAATGTAAAAAGCAAAGGAAAAAAAAAAAGGGAAAATAATGCATAGCCCGGGGATAATCCTGCAGACTGAAACCCCTAAAAGTGGATTTTCCTCCCTTTCTTGAAACACAGGGTAATGTGCCTTACAATCTGATATGTGCCAAATATAAAGGATGATCCATAAAGAAGTTGACCGAACGAAGAAAATAGTTTTTCAAAATATATGGGTAGCTCTTTTGCATAAAAATATCAAAGAGATTATGTTACTGTTTAGTAACTTTGAAAATTTCGCTTAATTTGCAAACACTCTATTCCCAAGTTACAACTATTTTAACAAAATTCAGCTGTCCGCCACTGATAATTTACGGTTCTACGAACTGATGAATACCTATTAAAAATGAGTGGACTTATTCGGATATTCCTGAACTGGCACAAAATGTGACAGTAAAAATAATGCAGTTTTGACACAAATGATTAAAATACCATTGGTACATGTACTTGAATGTTTGTGTATAATCTGTAATTTGTAGCTTTTCCAATGGCAATCCATAAAAAAGCATAACTTCTGATAGCATTGATCCATTTCAGTAATTAGTTGTTTTTTTTTCAGATGAGTGGAAGTTCATACTCTTTTCAAGCCATACTTCATTCGTGTATAAAATTTGATTGCTTTTTAAGAAAAAAAAGAAATTATTAAAGCCAGAGTCCATCATTTGCAGCTATCCAAAAAGTAACTGGCGTAATTATTGTTGAAAAACATACTTGGTTGCAAGATCGTAAGGGAACTAAACTCCCCGTGAAATTATTCTTTCTGGCAAGCTGTCATTTTGAATAAATCAACAAAAGAAGGCCTTTCCAACGGTGCTTGTTAGACGCACCGTAGGAAATTCAAATTAGTAGTTCGTTCTGTTATTCGGCGAAGCGAGCGCATACAAGCATTGGCACGATGCACATGCCCGCACGGTTGCTTTAATTCGTCGGATCAGTGCGCGACATTGCGTAGCTGCATTCGGCTAAGTGAGAACGTGTCTCGGACGCTGAATTCAGGCCCAATTCAAAACATGATTCAGCAACATTTGATTTGAAATCAAGATCCTAGAATGTTGTTTTTCTCGAAATATACAGCTGAAGCTGAGCTCAAACTTCATCAGGTTAGTTGTTCAGTACCCTTCGTCAGATCTTGAGCACTCTTGTTGCTTCAAACGAACAAAATGCACAAATTACAAATGATGGACTATACTTTTAATCCAGGTCACTTTCTTTTTGACTCACCCAGTCTACTTTACTTCATTGCAATACACATTGACCCACTTTGGTGACAAGCCAACCATGCATACAATCCCTTTAAATTATTAACGTCTTTTGTAATGTCGTTTGAGGTTTCTTTACTTACCGTACCTGTAAAATTGTATATTATGTAGGCCTATGTACTATGAGCATCTATAATTTACTGTAATCCAAGGTTATTGTCATACAATATTGATGTCGCACAACATCGCACAGTCCATTAACTCTCAAGGCAATTTACATTTTGTTTTCTTTTGAAACAACAAAATTGCACATTTTGTTTTACCGGTATTTCATAACTTGATTCAGTTGTCAAAATTAAAATTGATAATTTGTAAATGATGCCAGTGAGTCATATTAGTCCAACTTTAGGTTTTCATCAAAAAAGAAAACCATGAAAAACATTTTCATTGATGAATTCTGCCCTTTTTAGATAAGACAGAAATCATCTCACTTTAGTTTTTTCCTGCTATTTAAGCAGTCACAGACTGTCAAACTTTCTATCCACTTCCTTTGCTATATTGTAACACAGGATAGTCACCAGCAGTCGGATCATTTGTTAAGCAAGCACTGTGACTAGTCAAACTCAGTCAACAGACCATGAACAGACAAAGCAGGCAAGTTGTGGGCACAGCTGGCGTATCATTTACCCACAGTCAAATAAAAGCTGTATCAGGATGGGCAGTCACAGCCAGTCAATCCTGCTTTATGTTGGCTGGGAATTTCTACTGTTTAAAACAGTCACTTGATTGATTTTGACTTAAAGGATCAACTTCTTGGCACAGAATGTGTACTTTGCATATACATGTAGGAGGCTTAAACATGCTTAAAAAATACTGAGTCCCCACAACCACATACATGTAACACTAAGGTTTGTAAAACAGTTAAACAGATTTCTCAAAAACCACAATTAACGTAAAAGTGATGGTCAGGTCGAAAGTTGGAGAAAACATCTACATGTACGTGGAAATGTGAACTACTTTTCCTATCAAACCTGCCATTATACAAATAAAAACAATATTCAGAACATGAAAGCAGCACAAAAATTGAAATAGCGTTGTAACATTGCATGCATGGCTGTATGAACATGTACATGTACACCATTGTAGCCCTTGTCCGTTACCAAAATGATTACTCTTCAAGGGTTAGGAAAATCAATTTTACTGCGATTATTAATTTATAAAACCATTTAACCTTTAAAAATTTGCAAGATGTCTCATCTCCACACCTATTCAAATCAAAACACTCAACCACCTGCAGTAAACGTAAAGTCACAAACTGCCCCTAACAACGGCATTTGTTGACAAGCCATCACCATAGCAACACTTCCTCTCCATTACCGCTGCTACACTAGATCCGCATTGCAGCCAAGGACTTCGGATATAATGAACAATTGTATCCTATTTAAGTCCTATGAATGCTTTCGCTCTTGCATTTGACCTCTGTGCATAAATCTTTGTGCTTTATCCGATCAATTGGTTTTGTCACAGGTAATTTTTGTTCTGGAGTTCACTGCCACACAAATTGCTGTAGTGTTGACGTCTCACTGAAGCGTGAAGTTGTTTACCCTTTTGGGAGAGATCATTTGTTGCACCCCTCTTGTCCCCTAGGGCGAAATTCGTTACAGAACCACCCCCTGTGGTTTCTCTGCTACCGCCTAGGGTGAGCCCAATTGAAGTGATACTCTAGTGTAATTAATATCTTTGTATAAGTTGCAAAGTTTAAGATAATTGTATGGTTGATTGCAAAAAATTATGCACAACATATGCATGGGAAAAAGTTAGTTCTCAGGTTGTGAGGTTTATTTAGTCCAATTCTTGAACTTTGTGGGAGCAACTGTTGCCTCCCAGTTTGTGTCTTTGTGCCCCCTTGCAGAGTTCCCACGAGTTTTCTCATTATAGACTGCTTTTTGCCATTGAAACAAGCTTCGGAAACAATTAAGCTTAGTATTAAGTTGCATGGTCTAACTTAAGGCAGACGACACAAACTTGTCAATTGGGGAAAAAGTTAGTTCTCAGGCATTGAGGTTTATTTAGTCCAGTTCTAGAACTCATTTGTTGTGTGTGTCTTTATGCCCCCATGCCGAAGTTCCCACGAGTTTTCTCATTATATTATAGAGTGAGTTTTGCCATTGAAACAAGCTTTGTAGGCAAGCTGAGTAAAGCTGTTTGGTCTAAATCAGAAGGCACAAACTTGTCAATTGGGAAAACAGTTAAAGGCATTGTGGTTTATTTAGTCAAGTTCTAGAATTTTGTGGGGGCAACTGTTGTTTGTGTGTTTTGGCCCCCTTGCGGATTTCCCAGGACTTTTCTCATGATAGAGTGTGTTTTGCCATGGAAAGCTTCGTGGACAAACATTTTGTAGTAAAGCTGGTCTAAGTCAGCAGGCACAAATTTGTTGATTGATTCAGAATTGTTACCTTCTGGAAGTCTTTACGTGTACTTCTGGTTTACTGAATGGGCTGGATTTAGGCTTAGATTGCTCATTGGTGTTTAAGGGTAATCCAATACAACAGCACTGCCCGAAAGCTTCAGCAGCCTACAACCAGTCTAAAGTCACACCGTGACAGTTTGATACTGAATATTCAAATAAATTTTGCCATCAACTGAACATCTGAATAGCAATTATTCTATTATTCATATATTAAAAAAATGTGAGTGGTCTCTAGGAGACGATGAAAAATGTGTAAGTTCCAGCCCCAACCTGCATGAATGGAGAAAGAGACAGACCGAAGCCGGGTTTTGAAAATGGCCCCCAGTCTGGTTTCGGCATCAGGCCCACAGACATAAACACAGGCCAAGCATTGTCACGTCAGGGAAGCAGAGTACATGCGTAGTTACCACGAATCTGCATTGCATGTTGTACCGTCCATGTTCGTTTGTCAAAAATTGTCCGCCTGTGAAGAATTTGTGGCAATTTGTGCCCAAGTTCTAACTTGTCCGTGATGAAAATCACAAAATATGTCCTCAGTATAGAAGTACTTGTACTCGTATTTGGAAGTACTCGTACTTGGAAGTACTAGTACTCGTACATGTTTGTACTGGGAAACTAAGTACTCGTACTCAGCAAGCTACCGGTAAGTACTCGGCAGTACTCGGTAACACTCAAAAGTACTCGGAAAAAAAAGTACTCGACTACAACACTACAAC